TTTATTCGATGAAATTCAAAATGAATCTTTAATATTTATAGGCTAAATAAGACCCACAACAATGTCTAATTCTATCAAAACTAGTTAAGGCTTGAACTTGCACCAATGAAGAGGACTTTTGGCTGAAATCCAAAATCCCTCTTCCTGAGACCTACTTCTCATCAATTGCTGTTTGCTTATGTTGTGATCATTGGTGACGCTATCATTTTTGATCGTTGAGACCATTAAATTACCGGTAGCGCAAACACCAATGTCTTGTGAATGACGTCATCTACCACCGCCATGATTCCTGTCATTCTTCATTGCTAGGCATGACCCCTTTCCGATCAGCTCCTCATTTTCTCCTTCGTCCTGATTACAGTTTATTGTTGCCGTAAAAGCTCAGAGGAACAAATGGTGTATTTTATTATTATTTTTTTTTGTAAAATTGTGTATTAAAAATTGCATGTATTGGACAAATGAGGGGGTGCTAGCTTTAATTGGTCCCATTGCAAATGCGCCATGAATACGACTTCCACTCGGAATCATAGTGGCAATCAAAAGCATACTTCACCCACTGATCAAGTAACCTTTTTGTCGTCTAAGATAGCTGTGATAATAATTGATCGGTTAATGAAAAACTTCTTTTCGGGCGAGACTTAATCCGTCAGTGATGTGTAAATTATCTATGCCATGCCACTTGCCCCCTCATAACGTTCCTCCCTTCCATCTCCCCTTCCCCTCCTCCTCGTCCCATTATAAGCTTTATACTGCTAAAGATGGTCAAAACCTGTTGGGTAAAAGTCTGATTATGGAAAATTAGGATAAGAAAAAAAGGTTGGGTCATCATTTCCTGCGTCGTCAAAGTTTCAAACTACTATGTGAGGGCCAAATGTTTCCCATAGGATAATGTTAACATTATTGATAACTAAAATAATTTCTGAAAGCTTTCAAGCAGCCGCCAATCCATGAAACCATCAAGTGAACGTTAGTCTTGCTCCACAATCTAGCCCCTTTCATTTAAATTTAGCCTTTCGAGCCTGAAATGGAGGGAGGGAGTGACTTCGTTTGAATCTTCTAAGGGATTCTGAGCAGGAGTTAGGTGCATGGCGCAGACAATACAGAAGCAATGATCACTGTAGAGTATTTTAGTCTTTGGCGAATTATTTACATAACTGTGTGTATTCATGGGAATGATTTATGGTCAATGACAAACGGCTCCTGTTTGCGGTGTGTTTTTGTGATGAGAGCGAGAGAGGGGAAAAAGTCGATATCCCCCCTCCCCCTCCACGTGGTCGGGTTGGCAGTCACAAGGGAAGCCCACCATGGTCTAACCGAAGATTCCCAAGCAATCATCCTTCAANNNCCCCCCCCCCCACCCCTCCACGTGGTCGGACTGGCAGTCGCAAGGGAAGCCCACCATGGTCTAACCGAAGTTTCCCAAGCAATCGTCCTTCAATGGTCCCCACGCTTTGATGAATTGCCTTTGGTTTCTTTTTTAATTGACCACATGTTTCGGTATGTTTTTGGACGTATCTTTTTCGATTTTCGCTGATATCGATGTCCTTGCGTTGTGACGTTCGCTCCTTATCTGCCAAAAATTTCTCGAGTGGACGCCATTTTAAGGCTGATGCTTCCTTTTCCAGAACTTTTTACTGACTTTCTCTTTAGAAATTTGTGCTCACTAGAATCCGTCTTCACTTTGTGAGGGTGTTGATTTTTATTTGAAGGGAATCTCTGACGTATAAATATCTCTTTTTCACACTTTCTGGCCATCGAATTTTGGTCTATCTAAATAGCAGAATTCGCCTTGATGAATTTAATTTACTAGTCAACTTATCAAATTTGTTTTTATCTCCTTATTCTTAAAATCGTTGATTCTGCTTCTGCCTCGAGGTTGGTAGGTGAGAATATTTATTCTGGGCGACGCTTCGACGGACTCGTCGTTTTCAAAGGCCTCACTCCCACCGTGAAGTGTAGCCAAACTACACGGTTAGTAAATTAGTAGAATTCATTTTTATCTCCTTGAGTTGTAATTTTTTCGATTATTCTCTTTATTCTAAGAACGAGTATTACTTTTATGATGTAAACCCATGTGAAAAATTGTCCATGTGTTAGAATTATTGATCCGCACATATAGTCAGAGCCCCTCAAAAACCACTTACTTAGTCTTACACGGCTCGAAGAGTTGCGTTCCTCGGTAACCGCGTTGCGCGACTTGCTGCGACGCGTTTTAGTTGGGCATAGAAAATGTAGCGGGTTAAGTCTGAACGACTATTACATAAAGGCACCGAAGGGTCTTATATGCTGTATACGGTAAGCAACTTTGGATCGTAACTTGACTGGTCACAGATACTATTTCACAAATCCCGAAATCTACATTCTTGAAAGGAAGGGTTGATCCGTTGAGGTTCTATTGAAAAAAATCTTTCACGAAGAGCTTTAGTCCTTTCGGGCATCTCTCAGGGTTTCAACTTAATGGATGTCGTAAATCTCCCAGTTTTTCCTTCTGTTGTCCCGATACTAATCAGAGTCCAAGGTTTCTTAGTTAATCTCACGAACCCGATCTAGTCTTTGAAGCCGCTCTAGAAAGTTCCTACCATCGCATAGTATGTCTGATTAAAGAAAGGAGTTGCGTTATCGGCACCCAACCAGACAGATACACATTTGCTGATGGAGTAATAATGGCCAATCTGAGTAATTCGACCCCTTTGTGTCTGTTTCTCAGGGATTTCCGTGGTTGTTTACGCAAATGTTTGTGTACGAGATGGCATGCTGGTTCATTGCAGCGTCCCCGAACAAAGTCCATTTCTGCAGAGAACGGGATAGACAGTAAACAGAATCAAGGACGTGGGGCTGTTTTGTTAATCTATCGCTTTTCACAGACATCCATCTGCTATCTTTTGGTCGCGATAAACCTCTATATAAGGCTTTCGAACATGGTTCAACTACAGTCTCGGACCGTCTTAGATTTAGTCTGTAGGCTGTTATCTCATGCTCGGCAACTTACCAGTGGTTGGTCAGTGGTTTTCATGAAACAAAGATTCCTTTCGTATCTATCTTATCGCTTGCCGGACAATCTCTTCCTGCTATTTCCTTTTCTACTACATTGTATTTTCGCCGTTTTGTCCCTTTATTCCTTCGGGGTAGGTAGTTCGGGTGGGTGTTACGACATGCATAGTCAGGCATCAAATCCCGTTTTCTCCCTGGCCAGTTAAATAATCCAGGGCTAATCAATCCCTGTCTTACACCTGCCCAGGTCAACCGAGCGCTTCATCTCTCCAGGGTCGGTTAATGGGTGCCAGACCCATCAATCGACCCTAGAGAGATGGAACGCTTCTAGGAGGATGAAACACTTAAAATGCACGTTGGCTGGCCACCGCAAGTCATTATATACAGTAGCGGTCAAAAGTCATCGGTGGAATGCTTTGACGCTTTTTCGTACATAACTTTTTTCTTTGTAGACCAAATCGCGCAAAATTTGAATATGTTTAACTAGAGCATATTTCACCCTACCCAACACTATTTGATTGCGAAGCTGCAATATCCACAGATAGAGCAAGGTGTTTGTAGTGGTAGCAGATTTTGCTAAAACTAAAGTTGTTGACGTCTGCACTTATTCGCACCTTATGTGCGTTTTTCTCATCTATTCTGTTCGACGTTACCGCTCGTACACTTTAGACATGACAAAAAGGAAAGAGATCCTAGAAGGACCATCATCTGTATTTTCAGTCGATTTTGAGTTCATGCTCTTTGGAATATTTGGAACATGATCAGATTGCAGGTTAGTAGTGGCAAATATTCACGATACACCCACGCTTCAAATATGGAAATTTTGCATGATTAGATCCAGTAGAAAAGGAGTTACGACTGAAAAGTACGGCTGAAGAACCATTTCACCGAAGACTTTTGAGCGCTAGTAGGTTACATGCGTTAAATAAGTAGAGGGCGCATTCCGGAATAGGATTTATGACTTATTCTTTATCTTCTGCCATGATTTCCACTCCTACCTGTAACTATCTCAGGGGAATTTTCCTCGGCCTCATTCACGTGCAAGTGAACACTACAATACTGCTACTAAATCATGGTCAACCGACGTTTGCGACAGATTAATCCGTCGCAAACCATCGCATCGCCATAGCTTTTGTTGAAGTACTACAATTAAGTTGAAAATAAGTTTAACTGAAAGCTCTACCCGTGAGGAACCCATATATATGTGACTATTTTTCATTTTTCTCGAATTTTTTGTTTTCATTTCCACGAACAATGAGATGTGGGTTTCTCAGCACTTAGGATGTTACTTGCGGATACGTAGCATCGTAAATACTCCACTCCAAATGAGAACTTCGTTCTTAGCTCCCGGAATTCATGAATAGCACTATATTCGAGGAGAGCATAAAGTCCCGATCATTTTGATATCCTTCCTGACATAATTTGACATTGTCAGTCAAAATCAGTGGTTCGATTAACCAGATTTCCAGGCATTTGCTACTTTTTTCCAACCATCTATTTGGATGGAATACCTATCACTGGCCCTACTCATGGAGAATGCAATAGTACAATAATTTTCGATTTCCTTCAAGTTCGCAGCTTCTTTTTTAGGAAAAATGAAGAATGACTCTTCAAGTACCTAAAGTATCCTTCCCAGGCTCTAGTAAATACTATGCGTCAGCGACGCAGGACACTGTGGTGTGTTCGATTACATTTCAAAGCAGTTGTGTATTCAAACCAGTTGTGTATGCAATGCATTTGCTACAATGCTGTCCTAACTTTCCGGATCACTACACTTCGCTACGTACGACAACACTCATTTGAGAAGTGCTCCGAGGCCATGACCTTTTATTGGAGATTTAGCAAAGCGAGAAAAAGACAAGCGAAAAAAAATGATCCAGAGCGGATTAAGAAGCACAGCAAAACACAAGCAAAGTGATCACTGCTCGAATGGGCCAATGACAATGATAGGTTACGATCATTTGATCCAGTGGAATTAGGGGAGAGTGGCCTTCGCTTCTCAAGCCTATTCAGGCAGGAAGCACAGTATTCACCAATGGACATTGAAGATCGACTTTGTCTCTTTCCAATCGGTAAAACACTTCTTTAGGATTAGCATGGTAAGCACCTGCCGGGGTGTAAGCTGGGACGTACACGAAACAGTAGATCTGGAAACAGAATATTACAAAGCGAAAAACTCCAAATGCGGTCATAGCAGTTGTTAATTCAGAGAGGGATATCGATTTAGCTTTTTTCCTGAGCCTTATCAGGGAGGAGCACCGGGTAGGATGGGTGCTCTATCAGCAGGACTAGTATGTTACCACGCCACTGCGTACAGTTTTGAATGGAGAATCAATGATCAACAGAATGTTCATTTCTTTGCCTATATCAGGTTTTCCCACGAGGTTATCATCTCACCCACCCCAGTACTCCTCCCCTCTTAAGACTCAACTAATAGTAAATTACATTCCACTGGCCAAGGAATGTTTCCTGCACCATTACAGCCTCCCCTCCCCCTACACCCTCTTCCAATTACATTTTCGTTTCTTCTTTCTCTTCGTTTTCTCTTCCTCATTTTTCGCTTAAAATGGTGTATATTAGACGATTTTCACAGTCTTTCCCAGAGGTAGCACTTGCAGTGGGGGACCCGCTATCTGGTTAGTTCATTGGAAGCAGGTCAGCGAAAAGAGTTTCACAAAAATCAACTCAATGTCTACTTTCTTAGATTTTACCACAGTATCCCATAAAACTTGTGGGTATGCTTCGAAATTACGGGTCTTATCAGCTGAGTTCATTGGTATAACCTTTCGAAAAAAAGGTCAACTTACAGTTAGAAAAAGCAAATTCCCTTTTTTTTAACGATTTTTTAACGATTATTGTGCCATATTATCGTCCCCAAAATGGAGATAAACTCATACAGTAGCGCTCAGAAGTATTCGGCGAAATGCTTCTTCAGCTGTACTTTTCAGTCGTAACTTCTTTCCTACTGAATTTAATCATGCGAAATTTCAGTATGTGTAGCATGGATGTATTGTGAACATTTACCACTACTGACCTGCAATCTGATCGTGCTCCAGGTATACCAAAGGGCTTAAACCCAAAATAAAATGGAAATACAGGCACTGGTTCTCCTAAGATTCCTTTTCTTTTCGTCATGTCCAAAGTATACGAGCGCTGATGCCGAACACAGTAGAGAAGAATAGCGCACATAAGGTGCGATAACTGCAGACGTCATTAGCTTTAAGTAGGCGAAGTCTGCTGCCGCAAAAAAACAGCCTGCTCTCAATTATGTGGATATCCCTGCTTTGCCGTCAAACATGGTTGGATGGTGTGAAATATGCTTTAGTTGAACATATCAAAATTTCGCGCGATTTGCTCCACTAAGAAAAAAATTATGACCGAAAAAGCGTGAAAGCGTTTGGCCGATTACTTTCGAGCGCTACTGTATGTCTTCATAATATACAAGCATCTCCATTACACATACTTAGATTTACCATTTATGTACTTTTTCATCCAATATTTAGCAGTTAATTGTTCAATCGATTCTGAGCAACATGATGCCATCGTGAAAAAAAACTTACCCGTCCATAATAAGGTTCCACACCAACGCCAAGGCAGTTCGGATAATCTTCAAGACACTTCTTTAGACAACCGCCTTCACTTTCAGCTGTGATCGTTAGATTGTATTGCCCTATACTAGACACAAAAGGTTCAAGTGGTTCGTTTGTAAACGTATACGATAGGGTCCCATGTGCCTGGAATAGGAATAAGGCATAGGAGTATGGAACGTTAGACAATTGCATTTTATAAACAGCTCATGTCATATTCCTTCCCGTCGAATAACGGCGGGTATGCATGTGTAACCTTGGGATATTTATGGGGATGCACGGGTCCGGGAACGTCTCCCCTAACACGGCGTCGCACACGCCGCATCCGCCGCCTAACGCAGGATTGCGATGGAAGATTGGAGCGCGCAATTTGTGAGGTAGGCAGTCCTTTAATTATTTGAATTGGCTGGCCGCTCTTTTCAATTCCAATGCGGTCTTGATCGTCGTTTATATGGGAGGAGTCATTTTAATTAATCAAGTCTAATAAACATGAAAACTAAAAAGAAACAGAAGAAAAAACGATAAAATCCAATGAAAAAGCAAGCCAGCCAAGGAAAAATACCGCGTCCTATCGATTGGCGGGAGGCGGGGTGAGTACGGTAATTGCAGTGACATTTGCCGCATGCCGCAAGGGAGAATGCCGCGATAGGGGAGAAGTTCCGTTACCNAGTCCTTTAATTATTTGAATTGGCTGGCCGCTCTTTTCAATTCCAATGCGGTCTTGATCGTCGTTTATATGGGAGGAGTCATTTTAATTAATCAAGTCTAATAAACATGAAAACTAAAAAGAAACAGAAGAAAAAACGATAAAATCCAATGAAAAAGCAAGCCAGCCAAGGAAAAATACCGCGTCCTATCGATTGGCGGGAGGCGGGGTGAGTACGGTAATTGCAGTGACATTTGCCGCATGCCGCAAGGGAGAATGCCGCGATAGGGGAGAAGTTCCGTTACCCGGGATGCACTGCTATGCGCATGGTACTTTCTAGTGTTTTGCTTCATCAAGAAATTAAAGCCCTTTTCGGAGAAGGATCAAAAAAAGTGCTGTGGAAAAATTGTCTTTGAACTCTTCCTCTGCCAAGTTTTTTGGTGCTGAATTTCAAGCAGGGAATGTGAGCTTCCCGCTATTCGCCACACATGCTATTGGCGTTAATGAATTTCGAATTCTTCAGCTTTAATGAATCTTCCTGGTGACGATTCTTATTCTCTACTAAAGAAAGCGCAATGTTGCTTTCTCTATTCTGTCTTCTAAATAGTGACATTGGCCAGTGGTACGTAGCGATTTCTGGATTCTGTGATACGGTCAGATGTTGCATTTAGGCAGGAAAATAAACATATGTATATATTAGCAGTTATATGCAGTTATGGGACTGCAGTTAAGAAAATGAGCGATGGAGGCGGCTTCTGGTATTCATCGATGCCATTCGGAACATGCGTTCTGTTTTGTTATTCTGCAAACCGTAGGTTCACCTATCTACGATACTTGTAAAATAAGTACAGAATCACCACATGTACTACTCGATTAGACTTTCCTGATAGCCATGTTTCAGGATTCTGAGAAAAAAGCCTATTACTGGAAGCCCGTCCCTGCCTTCAAAATTTCGCTTTGAGGATCGCTCACAAAATCTTATAGTGATCGGCATTGTTTTAATAAGACGGGTGATAGCGAGAAGTTTTTCATGTACAATGTTGGGATACGTCTCCGGTCTATCTATTATCTGTGTCATTCTTCAGCGGAAGCTGCACATAAACTTTCCTTTCTTACCATTAGCTATATTCTACATATTTTATGGGGCTATTATGACGTAGTGTCAAGTGGCCCACTATGTATCACATGCATGATCCGTGAAGCAAGTCCTGAATTAGTGTCCGCCCATCCCTAAGCCATGACTTTTCATTTTTTTAGCTTTGTCCCCTCTAATCTTTTAGGGTAGACTAATCCCATTTTGTATCCATCGAAGATTTGATCCCAAAGTTAAGCGTGTGGTAGTGCACCGCTTAACACGTACCACGTCCCAACAACCTCCGGTTTTAGTATTATTTTCGAGATGCTGGGTTTTGGGAAATGCTTAATGTAGGATAGAGGTTCCACCTTTTTTCCAGGAAATTCCAAAAATATTTTCTCCAAACACGCTCGAGTTACCGAAGGCAGCGTGTAGTGTTCCTTATGACTTCAATGCTCAGCTTACTATTGCACTTTGGTAACTGTCCAGTTCTTTTTATGATCTACACAACTGTAGCTTTCCTGTTGTCATATTTGAGAACATATCTAATAAACTTACTTGCACGAGGAAAAGAAGCCAAAGAGATGTAGCAGCTTGGGCTCTGAGCAGAAGCATTCCTTAAATAGATCTTCAGGCCCGTTTCTAGGGCTTAAGGTTACAACGTACGCATTAGTAAAGCAAAAATAAGCATTTATAAAACCGCTGTAACAGCCTTATGAAGTATGAAAGTATGGAAGAAACGGAAGGTCAACCCATCCGTTCCGTCAAGCCCTCCCCCCTCCCCTTCCCCGCTCACCTCGGTGTCAGTGTGAACAGTTGGAATCTTCACTGTACATTTGGACTGCCCATATCTCAATGTGAAAATTCGCCGACTTATTTTAAAGGGTACTAACGGCCTGACCATTTTAACGCCCCCATGTCCATCTGAAAGTCACAAACCTCTACTCAAATACATAAAAAGACGAAGTAATACAAAAACTCGCAGGTTGCCTTACCGAACTTTGCCGCCGTTGAAGTATTATGACATAGGAAAGGCGGAGAGTTCTGGTAGTTTACGACTATCTTCTTCGGCTGATGAAAGTTTCTATAGTTTCAAACTTTTTTCGTGGCTTGAGGTAGTTATGTTGCCAGGGATTTAAATTGAATAACGAAAATGGTTATGTCACAGTGGCCCGTTAAATTCAGATTGGAAGGGAAAACGATGCATTCGTTGAGAGTGAGATGAAAGTCAAAGGAGCAGCAACTGTTAAACCAATCTAGCTTGGATCTCATGGACCAAAGTTAAGTTTACTTTAATCTCTTGCTTGTTTAGAGGCAATCGATGCGCGGGAACCTCCCTATCACTCTGCAAGGCATTGGCGTCCTTGGGTACGTTTAAGAGATGGATAGCATATACAGGTGAAGGAGAATTTGATGGTAGCGGGGGAACTGGGGCAATGAGTGGCTGTTTCATAGTCCGCCGGCGAGCGAGCGCGCCGGCCGAGGATGGTCCCGAGCAGATCGGGATCGGTCGACGCGGTCGCGCCCAAGCCTTCGAAGGGGCCTCCGGTCACCTACGGCCAGCGCGTTCGCTCGCCGGCCGGCCGGCGGACTATGAAAGCAGCCATCGATCATTTATGTGACACCTCACTTGGCCCTTTAACAAATTGGTGTCAGAGTTGCGCTAAGAGTGTTGATGGTCTCCGAGTGAAGTAGCTTCCTGTGCCAACGTTCTTAAAGCCTTTATATGGTTGGTTGCCAAATGGTACGCAATCGGCTTATTATCAGGTAACCGAAAAAATTCGTGCGGTTTTGCATGTGGGTAAATAAATATACAAAAAACGATTTAACTGAAGTTCATTCTGAAAAATAGTCCCCTTCAGCAAGAATGACTTTAACCCATCTTGAAACAAGCTGGTATATGAACTAAGACTTACGCAATGAGCTTGTCAGATAGTGTTCCGGTAGGGGTGCCCTTCGTTGCGCGCGTCCGTCGAAACCAGGTCACGCCGCAGCCGTCGCACGCGGCGGGTCAGCCCGCGATACTTGACGGACGTCGCAGTTGTCAGTGGGGAATACGATTTGCGCTTGGTCCGGCAGTCAGTTCAAAGGGAAGATATGATAGATAAAATGCAAATCATCTGCTCCACTGACACTTGGTGGTACTGTAATGCCCGGTGAGACCTCAATGTGATGCGCCGCGCGCGAAGTGAGCGAAGTGCCCTACTCTCAACGGACGCGCGCAACAGACGTTCTCCGTTCCGGTAGTGTTTTATAACAAATCGCCACCGGACATTGAAGGCTATAACGAACTTGGGGAAGCCCAATCGCGAAGTGTTCGAGATGTCAAGCAAATCTGTATTATATTGGCAGAAGCCTCCTCACGGGGATGATCGAATCGTCTTCACCCAGGCTTCATCAAAAGTGGAACTATTACAGTTCTGATTTGGAAAAAAATGGTGCTTGCCCATATTCCTGCATCACCCATCCCCGACAACTTTCTTGCTGGGAATGCGACTTTATTCATTGTTTAGAGACCCCTTAAAATATGTTGCCCCTCCAACCTGCATTTCAGATCCAAACCAGCTGATGAGGCCAAAAAGCAGACTCGTGATGACACCTACTCCTCCCTTGATAACGTGATCAGGCGCTACATCAGTTCTGGGTTTTAAAAAGTTTTGGTTTTTCTCGTACACGTGGTGATAACGAAGGAAATTGATGAGCGAAATAGTCGCGTGGCCCAACTTCCTTGATGGAACGGCTGGAAGAGGATGTCCGTAGTAAACTTTTTTCTGGTTGTGTCACGCACGTCTTCGATTATTCGAACGTTTTGAGCATCAGAACGTTTTGGATACATCAGCAGATGTTACTGTCAGGGTGTTCAGGGCCTTATCACTGGGAACTTAAAGCTCAAGCTTTTTTACCTTGGGGAAGAAATAGAGCTGGCCGGATCCGATCTGGATGTAGTGGGGAGGTGAAAGAACGGTTTTGCTGATTGCATCCGGTCATTCCACTTTGCAATGTTTAAACAGGTGTTGTGAACGGATTTCGACCTTGCAATCGCTGCTGATTTGCTCAAAACACAGAAAAACAACAGCTTTTCTACCCAAAAAACCCTGCAAAATTGAAAGGATAAGGTTTAGCCAGCTGTTCAAGGCGATGGAAATAAAGATCCTTACTGTGAGGGTACGCTTCTCAGTTTTTTTCTTCCTGTGGAAGCTCTTTCAAGCTTGCTCCCTCCCTTCCTGTCAGAGGGTGACAGAACGGAAGGAACAGTTCCGATCGGTTTCGTTTCCTTTTACTGTCTCGGAAATTGGCCTTGATCTCACCCAGGCCTTACACTTCTTCACTTTGTCGTCTGTTTATTGATAAAAACCCATTTAAAGTGGAAACTTCCGGTGCTGTGAAGAGGAATCGAGTCTGGGAGGGACTTTATGACTCCTTTTCATCTATTCAAGATCTCTCTAAGCACATTTACAGAACCGGTTCAATATAGGAGCTCTTTTCAACCTATAAAATGTTTNCTTTTATAAATTGGTTCGCTTTTAATGACTTCAAACCACTATTCGAACGTTGTTTATCGTTGTCTGGCTATCCACATTACAACGACGTTCCAGCAAAATGTTGGATTCTTGAAGGACGAGTTTAAAGACATGTTTGTCTGTCTCCTAGTACGTGCTAGTAGGTAGTTAAGACCTGGCCCGAATGAAAGCCGCCCCTTTCTCTCTCTTTTCAATCTTTCACTTTTTTCCAGTTGTTGATATCAGACAGTGCAATGAAGAATTTTCACTTGTGACAGATAACTATTGAGAATTTTTATTATTTCGGTAGATATTTTCGCTATTAAAACGAACGGACCTGTAGATCTTTCGGGTATGCTGGGCTTCGCATAAATAGGTGTCGATCCGAAAATATGAACCCTTCTTCACCTTGCTCATAGTATTTCAGATTTTCTAAAAATTAAGGATCATGTTTTGACTTCAATCTTTAAGATGAGCCCTTTATTCGACTTCCATTCGGATTCTAAGTGGCGTTTTGAATGCGTAGGCGACCTGTTCAACTACTTACTGGCTAGCATAAGTGCAAGTCCGTACTATCCTCCCAGACAAGCCAGACAAGTCTGGTACCAATTTATTGGTCCAGAAGGATGAAAGGCTAAGTTGGCCTAGGCGAGCATCGAGGAGGGATTCGAACCCTAGACCTACGCGATGCGATAGTGCGCCACCTGCTACTTCACCACTTTCTCCCGGTTTTCTGATTCCCTGTGAATATCGTTTTGTTTTTATTTATGCTTTTTACCAAAACTTTCTTATTCTAAATCCGTGATCCAATGCGTTCTTGCGGCCTTCATCCATCAGAAGCTGATGACGATAAGTCTTTTTCTCTTTTTTATCTTTCAAACCTTCTCTCGGATCTCAAATTATCTCTGGACTGGTACCTTCTTCCGCTTTGCCGTCTTTCTGCCGACCTTTCTAGTGATTATATTTATTTATTTTCTTTTTCGTTATCGGTAGTTTATGAGTGACAGTAATCAATACAAGTTAAAGACAACAGTAAGTTGCTGATAACTAAGGACAATCTAAGTAAACGACAAAACTCGTAAAACACCCCGATGATTCGATAAGAATACAGTTATGTGGCAAAAGGCCAGGGTTGCCAGGAAAAACAGCAAACACGTGAGGGTATCGGGCACAAACGATGCCCAAAGGAACTTTCTTCTTACCATGACTTGACGGTGAAATGAAGTGCAATATAGGCAGAATTTCACGGGCTCCATGTTTCTTTTCACGGCACAAACCTATTTGAATAAACAGGTCCTTAACCGACCTCCCCCTCATAGACGACGGATCGACTAGGGACGGGGTGAGTGGGTGCAATACTTGGCGGGCTGTACTGCATCACGGCCACTCGTTCAAGTCAGGACCCATGGCGGGAATACTGTAGGAATCGGGTCCCAGTAGTCTATAGGGCAACAATTTTTTTCCATTGTGTGGAAGTAACGTGGTTTTGTTCCCTTTTTTTTTCTTGCGGATTTTGCTTTCAACCGTTTCAAAGGTTTGTTTTTATTCCGATTTTTTACATCTGAGGAACGCACTGAAAAAATAAATATCATCTGCATAATGACGTCAATCGCGAGGGTCAATGACAAGTGTTTGGGCCTTCTGTTTCGATGTGAGAAAGTCTCATCAACACGACAGAAGGTCCTCTCTCCTTCCCCCCACCCCCCACTCCCACTCTCCTTTCACACTTCCCTTGCTCCCACTACTTTTCACTCTTATGATAGCCTGTTTCGTTCAGGACTGTCAGAATGTTTTTTACTCTTTCTTGTGTGGGTTCTTTGATGTGGCGAGGAAGTAAAGTACGTTCTGAAGGGAAAGTAGGAGCACATGACTGAAGGAGTACCCTTCAATTTGTATCATGGGACTTCTTTGATGCAAGTTTACTTCCCGATGACACAAATGAAGGAAAGATCAATCAAGTTTTTGACAGTTAAGATGATTCATTGCCTTAGGTGCTGAAAAACCGGTTCAGTCTTCTATGGAATTCACATATTTGTTGTTTAACTCCCAATATTGAAAAGTGCAAAACATCAAGTTTATGAACTTTGTAAGAGAAAGGATGAAGACCCGAGGGACGCCGATGATGACGCTACTTCTTCCATCCCTTCCCTTTTAGGATCCTCTTTTCATGTCTCCCCCTCATCTTCGAACCTGTACACAATTGATCTTTGCGATCCTATTTTAAATGTTCGGAATACAAATATTGAAAAGCGGGCCAAAGTCGAAGAGAGCCCATTCACAGTCGATGAGTACCGAAGAATTCCGATTTCTCTACCCTACCTTTACCTTACCCGGTTGACCCTCTTTTTTCTCCCTTCAGGGTACAGAGAGATATCAGTAATACCGTTAGGGTATTTCGAGGAGGAAGATCCCATTTTACTTATTAAGAAAAACTGTACAGAACCTACATTTAGATGATGACCAGCATAGCACAATCCCTACGGATGCGGGTCCTCATTCTCTCTCTTTTTTTATTGTGGGTATATTGTGGGTACAGATGTCTTATCATTCGATTATTTAATTGAATCTAATGCATAAAGGTAGAATAATTCCTCACTATTATATCTAGGGTACGGTTTATAGTCGGAGATCAATGGATACATATTGATCGCAAGTGACCTGTGGAAACGCGGTTCTACGATTCCCGAGATCGATTCAGATCTGTCACCAACATTAGATTCCTCAAGTTCGCGGTTCCACACCCCTCACGTAACCCATGAACCATGAACAGTCGGGCTACCGATTGCTACGGTAGCATTAGCAAAATACTAATTTAAAAGATATACACACATTTTCGCACCCAGTTCTTACCAAAAGAATGAAAATTCGTAGAACTACGAATACAAGTCCTTACCGTAATATTAATACTGCGCTAGGTCGTGAAATTTCGTAAAAAACGACGTATGTTACGTGATAATAGTTCGAAGCTGTGGAATTACGGTAAGAATTCGAAGCTATTTTAAATTTTTCTTTTCTGTTGCTCAAGGGCGTTATTTTGGTCCAGATTTATGCTACTTTCGACGTAAAATGCAAAAGAATTGAGCAATGCGTCTTGAAGAAGCTCTTTAGAAAAACGGAAAAGAAAAACTTACTTCGACCATGTCCTAATTCATTGAGAAAGAAAAAATCCTCTAGGTTCGTAACCGTACCTTTACCATTGAGTTTAATGGTTTAGTCTTAGACCTTCAGACTATAACGTCTCTTATCTCAATCTTTATCGTCTGATTTACGGAAACCCGCTCTGTTACACATCTCGCCAGGGAGCACGTGGACTTTGGCCCCGCCCCAATCGGGCGGCCCCACGTGACTCCCAGGTTCGGCCTTTTTGGTCGCAACATTTCTCATTCAAGTCCAGTGCTACTGTACTAAGTCTTTCGGTCACTTGTCTATTGTATTCGTTTACTAATAATAATGCGTACTATAATGCGTGTCAGAAGAATGCCTCGACGTGGAATTGTGCTGAGTCTTTCCGCGAACGGTACCGCTAGACTGATATTCCGTGGGGATCGCTCAGGATTTGCGGTGAGTTATAGTGAATTTTATATATCGTTTTTAATCTGCAGTGTTTTCAATCTGTGTTTTCTAGAAGATCTTAAATTCAATCTTTTTTCGAATTTTCCAAATTTCAATCTACAAATGTTGGAAGACTAGCTGCTATAGTAACTTAGCGTTTCATGGGCAAGATTTTGGACTGGACTTGTTTGGGGCAATTGTTGTAAAGGGGAAGTGGTAGCTGTTCCTTCAATCAAAGGTCGCACGACCCATCACGTGATCTCTGGTATAATCGCTCCCACCCGCTGTCTCCGAATGATCTTTGACGCAAACGTTTCCGATAAAGTTTCTTCCTCGCTGCCCTACGTATTTCTGTTCGAGAAGATAAGATTTGGGTCCCTGCGTCTTATTCAATTGAGAACAAGTATGGCGTTCAAATCATGGGGTCACGTATTAGTGGCTTTAGTTCCGAATGAATAAGGTGTCAATATGGAGATTTGGGGTTTCAAAGTATTTTCGCATCATTTAAAGATGCAATTTTTTGAGAAATTTTTGCAGAATTTTGAGACGCAGCGATGCAATAACAGAGGAAATATAACATTTGGAAAGTGTTAGGGAATCTGACCAGATCTGTTGGCACCAAACAAGTGCAGATGGCAACTGTAGAAGCTGAACTATTGCCAATCTTAGAGTGGCAACAAAATGACTGCGTCTGTCTGGGAAATGCGATTACCTTTTCTCGCAAAAAATACTATTTATTCAGCTACGTATTCACCATAAAATACTCAAATATCTAGTCTTTAAGTTGAAACCCTCAGGGAGACAGGTAGTGATCCCTTAAACAAATGTTTGGTGTGCTCAGAAATACATACCATCACTAATTCCTACCTAGTGGTAACAAATTATTATAGTTGTGACACACCAGAAGGAACGATGATATCTCAAGATGGAGCGGTTGGTTTATGAGATGCCGATATTAGATACTAGAGCAACACAACGTTATTATTACCGATTTGCAGTAATCGGAATTGATTGTATTCAGAGGAAATATATGCATACAAAAATAAATGTAAATGAACTGATGTGTTAAAATTTGGATATCTCAAAAGATTTGGTCAAGTAGAAATTTACGGTTTCATACAGTGTGTTTGGTAGTCTGTCTACTTTTCAATTGGTTTTGTGTTTTCAAACATCGCATAAAATTTCATCTTCACTTTTACAGGGTATGCTCGAAACCGATGGCGGCGAAACCTTCTCTGTCTCCGGTAAACTTACGAAAGACAGTCCCGACCCAAGTTCATCGTCTGAGCCTTATATCATGGACATTTTAATAGGTACTTGTTTTTATATCCGATATCAAGCACTATGAAAAGCATGCTACTATGAAGACCGGTTCCAAAATACAGAATTCAGAAAAGCTTCCTATTTTGTTTTATATAATCCAATAAGGGTAGCCATCGGAAAGCTCAATTGCTTTACCGGATACCAAATGTGAATCATTCACGATTTTGTCGTTAACATTATGTGGGAAGTCGTTGTGGGAACACGTTTGACTAGTGACTAGACGGTGATGTCAGCGATTCCCATCGCAGCGATACTAAAATTTCTTTCTTGGTGAAGTGAACGGAAGTGGAGTTATGCCGAAAGGGACAACAAGAAGAATCAAGTTTGCTAACAACTCATCTTTCAGCAAATAAGTCTCAATTCGTATGGTTACTCTGCATTAGTTATCTCTGAGTTCCTTACTGATTAACATTGCTGACCACAGAAGTCGAATACAGGGTGTTGACAGCATATACATATGGGCGACCTATGAATACACATCTATTCGTCGCCGTACGTAGCTAGTATTTACTCACGACGTTCCAGACCAAATAGGCTCTTGGAGTCAGCTTTGGGCTAGTAGGGCTTTGGACAATGTAACTTATTTAAGTGTCGGACAGTAAGAACGACGAAATTATACAGCAAAGGTCCATAAGCAGCTTTTCTGTAAATTTGGATGAGCTGCAAAACCCTACTTTCGAGCTTTTTGTGGGAAGTGTGCTTTCCTTGTAATTACCATACTATACTGTTCACTGATTTTTCGTGTCCTTTGGTTCTTTTGTTTCGTGTTGGAAGCATTTATCGTCAAATTACGATTATGGTTGTAATGTCTGCTCTCGACCAATGAACACTCAAAATACGCCCAGCAGCGTATCGTTGCTGTGCGGAAACTAGATTAATCATGACAGATCATTTGCTTTTGTTTACTTTTGTACGTTGTTGACTTTTGATGACATGAGACCCTTTTATCAACATAATTAGATCATACACTAGTGAACATTTGTGTTTACTTTTACTAGGATCAGTTGCAAATGCTATTACTCCCCTTCAGTTCGACATTTGGACTAATCAGGAAATAGAAAGGTGGCAAGGGGACGTAGGATCAACTCGAGGTTTCGACAAGTCTGCTCCCAAATGTATTACAGCAGTGTGTCAGATAAAACAAAGCATTTCTCAAGTTTATAGACCAAAATTATAAACATCAAGTGGAATGAAGGGGTGTGCAAAGGTGTAAGAGCTAAGGAAGCTCTGGCGAAGCGTGGTAGTGCTGGTAGCGTACCCTAAGGTCCTTTTCAAGCTAAGTAAAGTGTGGTAATTTGAGTGCTCCCTAATCCACGAACTTCTATAAGCTAGTCCTAATGAAATCTGAAGCTGTCAGGAAAGGGCTAGGTGATACTTGCCACCAGATGGTTGCCATTTTCTTGTAGTATCTGAGACTTCAAGTTTTCACCGCAGCACTATTCGATAGTCTGTTTTTCCTTTTCATTGTAATTTCTCTCTTTTTTTTCTAACAAAAGCTTTTCGCAAGCAAGCAGATTCTTATCTCCTTTTTTTCTAAGTTTCACTTCTTTTTTTCTAGACCGATACTGCCCATTTTGTGTTTGATAAGAGCGGCACGTACATCTAAAGAGTGTCTAATGTTTTGTAAGACTTGACATGAAAAAGGAAATTTATGAGTTTGTCTGTATGGCGGTAGTCACATGCAATATTTCAGCCTTTTATTAAGTACCCCTTGTCTAAGACAATCGTGTCAACCAGGAAATTTGATTAAGTTAATGTTCGTTATCTAATACTCACGTGAACAGTAAGATGTAACTGTTCTTGACAGTCTTCTATATACATTTTTTTACAGTCGAAGGCGATACTGGCTCGTCATTCAAGCTGGACCATGTCGAAGTATTTGCTGACGGACCCAAGGTTACAATCAGAAACCCTGCCATCAGCTTTTCGACGACCAAGCGGTTTATCGGAGCAAAGTAGGTTTATTTAACTTCTGGTAGTTGCTCGACTGTCCTTTTTGTGATCCTTGGTGCTTGTATTACCGGGTAGTATCTTACCTTATCACTGTTTATTTTGGGGTGAGTAGGATCTTGTTCATCAGAAAAATCTCTCAGAGTTATAGTACTGGCAAGGAACTATTCTATTTTTTTTTGTATCGCTATGACTGACGGCTCATTCTGCTAGTATGGTTCCAATCTAAATGACTAAATGTAAGTCTGAGTATAGCGATTTTTCAGGGCAGATGTTGTTATTCATCAGTATTTGAAGCCCGGTATGATTGACGACGATGACAAGGAAGTATTCGTCGGACCAATGGAGGTGAGGGCAATTTCAAGAGTAGAATTTTCTCTTCTACCCGCTGAGCTCTTACATTTGCTTGTCCTGTAGTCTCTGAATGGACGATTTTCATCCCTCCGCTATAGGACCACTGTTCTATGGGTCGTACCGAAAAGGGTTACTACTCCGCAACCTATAGCAAATAGTCCGGTAGCAGTTAAAGTTTGACTATTCATAGATGTATCAAGTTCTATTAGAGTCCATCACAGCGGAGCCATGAAAAAGCTCTCACAGCGTACTCCCAATCTTTCTCTTAAATTTAATCTACTGATATATGTTTCTTTCCTCTGAAGCGTTTTTATTCATTTAATTTGTTGAGGGCTTAAATCTGTCGTGAGCTACACTTTTTTCAGCTTTGCATCCTAGCCAAAGAAATTTTCAAGGAGAGCATACGACGCGAGTCCGTATGTGAACAAGACGTTATTTTGGAACAATCTGATGACTTTCTCGCTTAGCTCATTCAAGTCTTTCATGCTTTTACGTCCGTGCACGATTTTTAATAATGTCTGTTAACTAAAGTTGCCTGAAGCCCAGGGCGATATGGATGCTTATTACCTAAATAATTTCCTAAATACAGTCCTCGTTTTTAGACAAACTTCGTCGTAGTCGTGACTGTAGGTTTTCTGAATTACTTTTTCCACTGTTTGAGAAGAAATTCGTTTACAGTTTGGAAAATTGCATGGTTATTCATTGTCATCATTGTCCATTAGGCGCTACAGCTGTTAGCCAGTTTTACAGTTTATAGTCTCATTCTTAAGTGAATTTGATAACTTGCTCTCAACATGATAGAAGAAAAAGAGTAGGTATGGAGTAGAGTGTACGAAACTATCCATTGAATAGCCTCTATGAAACCTTCCGCACCGACTATTTACCCTGGGGATAAGAAGAGTTAAATCAGGAGAAAACTTACCTAAAGAGTAATTGTAATCTACATCAAATCTTTGGAGTTAATATTGCCATTATTTATATAAATGAATAATACATGTGAGCTTCTAAAATCTTTCATTATTCGTGACTTTGCCCACAAAGAATTACAAAATTGCCTATAGCTCTTTTTCACCTCATGCTTTTCTTTTCATTCGAATGTTCTTGTACTGTTTCGTTGAAAAGCTTTTAGTAACCTTTGTACCGATTTCATTCGGGTAATTTGTGCTGTGTTACTGATTGGTAATTTCTTTATTTGTGTCAAAAAGTAACGAATAAATTTCAGTTGCTGCTATTCAATTGCTCAATTATTTAGCTTTATCTATTGGATATTTGTACAAATGGAAAACCTGGTGCAAACGATCGGTTACCGGTATACTCATAATAGTTTTAAGAGGTTGAGTCTTTAAAACTCCTAAGATGTTCGGCAAAGATATCGGTGTCGATTACTAACGGCTGTCCTTTTTCGCCTTGCTCCATAACTGATAAATTAAGGTATGGCACAGGTTTCCATTTCAGCATAAGTTTTTTCTTTTCGGCAATATATTGAATGGTTCCTGTCTTAGCTACAATTGATAAGATCATATAGTACGAAAATGGTGTTCTTAACGGTTTTAAAAACAAGATGCATGGAAGCAGTAACGTACTGCTTTGGAGATTTTGTGAAGATTCATAATATGAATTGATAGCAACAGATCACCGACGAATCATCTCAAGGGTTAAAATTGGCACCAAAAGAACCAGGTCAGAGACCATATTCCTACGGTAAACTCAGACGATGATACCCTTTACCCATCTTTTCGTCGACGCGGGATCGTGCAATCGGTGTTTTTAATGAGCTGACAGAGCGGTGTACAGGCAGCTGGATCGTACTGTGTGGTGGTGGTTGGAGTAAAATAGTAGTTACTGTTAGTGGCGGCTGGACATAGTGAAGGCTTTGGAATAAGAGCGATACAATCACCATTGGTAGTTATGATTTCTCAATCCTCCTAACAGAGATAAACGGGTCTGTGGTATCTATGGAATAGTAGCATTTTTTATTAATAATATTAGCAATACACTTTGAAGGAGGAGTCATTGTACGAGAAAGAAATGCGGTTGAAGATACCGCAATCTCCCCGACATAAGGCCATGTTGCGACAGTGGTAGCTAGGGATAGCTACTGATTTCGATCTGCTTCACTCGGAGAAATGATGGGGAACATCGAGCACAAAGACGGTGAACTATATCGCTTTGTTTGTGGTGGGAACTTGGCAATCCTGAACTTGTCGGTGCCACAGATTTGTATTAAGAAAGGAATTAAGATTATTTGAAGCCCGAATCGACACTATCCGGGCCAAAAGATCCTTCCACCCCTTTTACGTTGGTATTGGTCATTAATACCAGACTCGTCTGGGAGGATACAAGCACTGACCTGCGGCTAGTCACTGCGATTCGTTGTGCAGGCTACTTCCGTATTCAAACCACCACAACGATACTAATTTAAGTCGAAGAATGCAGGGGCGCATCTCACACACGGGATTGGTTAAAGCCATCCATCACCTCTTACCAGGGAGGGGTAGTCTACTTATCTTGGAACTTTGAATTCAGACCCAGA